TGTAGGGCAAGGGCCTGGTTAACTTTATGAGGAGTTGCCGAACTGTCTTCCGAAGTGCTGTGCTGAGCCCGCCTTCCGGCAGCGGCCAGCAGGAGTCTCTGGTCCCGGCCAGCATCTTCCGTTAGCCCGTCCCACGGTGCTGCAGCTCTGCTGTGCGTCTCCCCGACGACCGTTGACACTGTGCCGTCCTGGGCGCATGTGCCGCCCACGAACCTTCTCTGTTCAAAACGTTCTGCCTCTTTAAAAAATGTGGTTGGGCATCTTTTGTTGGGTTTGAAGAGTTCCTTATGTGTTCTGGATAGAAGTCCTGTATCAGATACGTACTTTGCAGATATTTTCCTCCAGTCTGTGGCTTTTTTAATTCTCTTACCAGTATTTTTTAAAAGATTTTATTTATTTTCAGAGAGAGGGAAAGGGAGGAAGAAATAGAGGGAGAGAAGCATCAGAGTGTAAGAGAAACATCGATCGGTTGCCCCTCACAGGCGCTCAACCGGCGTCCAGGTCCATGACCCAGGCATATGCCCTGACTGGGAATCGAACCGGCGACTTTTCTCTCTGTGGGATGATGCTCAACCAAGTCATGCCGGTTGCAGCAAAAGAAAATATTTTTAAACAAGTATCCCACCATAATTACAGATTTGTCTGATCCTCACTTTGGTTGCTATAGGGATTGAAAAATACTTTTCACAATCTACTTATAATCAATATTTTACCGCTTTATTTTAATTGTAATATAGAAACCTTGCCCCTATAGGCTCCTTTACCCCCATGTATGTTTTTTTTAATATATATATTGTATCTATATCCATCAGCACTCCGTCAGACATTATGTGTTTTACTTTCCTCTCTGTTTCAGGTTTCCTGTACATTACAGCTGCATGTATCAGAACCTCATCAGACACAATAAGTTTTGCTTTTCTACCAACAAGCCTTATGTTAAGGAAGGAGAGTGTTCTGCTGTGTTGACCCAGATGTTTGCCGTTTCTCTCACTCTCCCTTCACGTCTAATGTCCCCGGTTCCCTCCTGGCTCCAGTTCCTCCCTCTCCGAAGAGCGTCCTTCAGCAGTTCTTCCGACCACTGCTGCCTCTGTTAGTCCTTCCTGTGGGAGTGTCTGTATTCCACCTTAACTTCTGAACGTTTTGGCCGGACATAGGCCTCTAGTTCAGTCACTCGTTCAGACATGTTCGCCACTCTCTCGGACCTCAGTGTGGTGAGAGACCCACCGTAACTCAAGTCTTTGTTCCTCGACAAGAGACGCATCGTTTCCTTTCCGTCTGCTCTCAAGAGCCTTCGTCTTCAAGTTTGACTGTGAAGTGTTCGGGGGTGGGCTCTGTGGGCATCTTGTTTGAAATTTGCTCAGCTTCTTGAATCTGTAGGTTTATTTCATCAGACCTGGAATAATGTTAGCTGCGATTTCTTCAAATACCCTGTCGTTCATTTGTGCCATTCTCTTGTTCTGGAACCCCAAGGACAAAACCTCGTGTTACTGTCCTGTCGGTCCCTGGGGCTCAGTCCCTTTGTGTGTTCAGTTTTCTTCTCTGTTGCTCAGATTGGATCACCTCTATGGATCTGTCCTCAAGTTCACTGTCTCTCCTCACTCCTCTGATGAGTCCGTTCAGTGTGCTTTTTAAAACTTCTTTGGCTATTTTTATTTCTAAACGTTTCATTCGGGCCCTGGCCAGGTGGCTCAGTTAGTTGAGCACTGTTGTATTCGCCAAGTTTGTGGGTTCGGTTCCCAGTCAGGACACAGATCTAGGTTGTGAGTTCCAGCCCCCAGCGGAACATGTGCAGGAGGTGGGGAGTGGCAACAGATTGATGTTTCTCTCTCACCCACTGTTTCTTTCTCTTTCTCTCCCTAAATCAGTTTTAAAACATCTTTCAAAATTTTTCATGTGGGCCCCAGGTGATGTGGCTCAGTGGGTTGGGTGTCATCTCGCAAACCAAAAGATCACTGGTTCGATTCCCAGTCAGGGCACAAGCCTGGGCCGTGGGCCAAGTACCCAGTTAGGGGCGTGTGAGGGGCAACCAACCAGTTGACATTTATTCACACATCAGTGTTCCTCCCCCTCTTTCTCCCTCCCTTCCCCTCTCTCTAAAATATTTTTTAAAAACTTTAAATAAAATTAAAAATTTCATTTGGCACTTTGTCTTCTATTTTTACATTCTATTTTATTTTAATATTTCTACTTTCATACTTTTCTATTTGTTTCAAAAGTGTTACATTTTAGTACTTATTTTAAGTGTTAATGATTGCTTGTTTTAGCATTTTTATAACACGTTAAAGTGTTCGTCAGGTAACTCCAACATCTGTGTCATTTTCTTATATATTGTCTTTTCTCATGTGAGTGTTTTTGTGGTTGTATGTCCAGCCTGTTGGGTCTTATCCAACTTGAAAGTATCACATTACGAGACACTGTGTCTTGTTGAAACTCAGAGAATATCGAGACTTCTATCTTAGCGGTTGATTAGGTCCAGGCTGCAGCTTGGAATTGTGATCTCGCGTCAGGTCAGGTTGAAAGCGTCCACAGCGCTGCTGGGATCTGCCATGTGTGTCCATCCTCTGGGGGTCGGTCTGGGGTCAGGGCAGAGGTTCGCCAGCCCCGGCCTCCGAGCTTTGGGTGTGCTGCTTGGGTACGTTCCATGCAAGCCCGGGGTTCAGATACAGTTTTAGGGGGCTGCTTTCTCAAGCTCTTCCTGATTCATTGTCTTCCCAACACTTTCTGCTTCCCTGGAACTCCCGCTTTCTGTCTGGCTGTAAACTGCTTGCTCCCAAAACTGTCATGTCTGGGCCGGAGAGAGAAAGAGTTTGGGCTGCAGTCATCACAGCCACCTGGGGTTTGGAGCAGACAGAAGCGAGGAAAAGGTAGGGAAGTTCCTAGGGGGTTTCTTCTGTTCTGAACTTTTGGGGTTCCCTTTCCCACTCCTCACGCCTGGCTTTGCCGGGAGGCCTCTCTGCCGCCCACAGCACTCTCGCTGCCGGGGCTTGCATTCCTTGGGTTCAGCCGGGCTATCCCGGAAGGAAAGAAGCGGTAAATTCTCTACCACGTTGGTGGAGGGGCTTTGAAGTCAGCGTCCCTCCCCAGGCTGCCTGTTGCCCTTGGCCCTTGGCCCTCAAAGTGCCGTGTGCTGTGTGTTCTGTTCAGGTTTTATGGTTGCAGTCAGAGGCAGAGAAAGGGGGGCATGTATTTTCTTGTGCTTACCCAGAACTCAAGCCTCTGATTGATACTATTTAAATAGGTTATTTTCTAATTAACTCATCTTTGTATGCAGGAAAACAGTTGGTATTAATAAGAGTTCCGTGAAATGGCCAAACATAGTTTTCAATCAATTCCTTTGACTTTGTCTGCGCCTACGCTTATGTCAGTTTCACAGGGTGCTGTTTTGGTCCCTTCCTTTGATCACGTAATTCTCGCTCTCTTTTCTATTTGCACCTTCTAACCAGCCTTGGGAGTGAACGCAGTCTTGCTATTTCTTTGCAGCCCGTGGGGTGACATTTCTGGAGCACAGCCTCTGGTAGGGCCGGTCAGGTCCGTGGGTCTGGGTGTAGCTCAACGGACCTGTATGAGGAACTGTTTTGAGCAAAACCAGGTGGGAATCCTTGGTGAAGAGCCCTCCCATATAAGGTTGTGCTTACTTGGGCCATAACTGAGCTGAAGTTGACATTTGGAGACAGCAGTCTCTGAAACTCACTCAGTTGGGTGTGATTTCAGAACAAATTTTCACGTAGCTCTTCAAAGGTGCAGATCTTTGCAGAAAGCACAGCTGATGCAACCGAGCGGGAAGTGGGGCCGTGAGGTGCACATTCAGAGTTCATGCAGAAGTTTAACTGGCCCTGTGACCTTTCTGTCACTGTCATTAAGGAGTGTCCAGCCTCCTCTTGGGAGCTGGGGTGTGGGTAATCCAGCCTTGGTTGCTGTGAGCAAGTGGAAGGAACAGTTTTTTAAAAAATTTATTCACTTATTTTTAGAGAGGGAAGGGAGGGAGAAAGAGAGGGAGAGAAATATCAATGTGTGTTTGCTTCTTACGTACCTGCAACCCAGTCATGTGCCCTGCCTGGGAATCGAACTAGTGACCCTTTGATTCCCAGGCAGGTGCTCAGTCCGCTGAGTCACACCTTCCAGGGCAGAAGGAACACTTTGGAGTAATGGGATCAATTGAGGCCATCCTGGGTCCAGGCTCCTGGTGGGAATAGGCACAGTCCCCCTGGGTTGTGCTGTGAGGTCCCCTCCATCTCACGAAGCCCCCACTACCTCACCTATAAAGCACACTGCACACTGACCTTGCCAGGTGAGGCTGTGGGAAAAAGTGAGAAAGTGCACAGGAGACTGCAGAACCTTCTGGAAGTTAGGTGCCACAGAAGCATTTATTGCAAAATATTTTTAAAATAAGCATCAGAGATGAAAAATAAAAACAGGACACGAGTGGTGAGTTCAGAGGAGCAGGTTTGATCCTAGAATCCAGGTTCGTTCCTGAATTAGCAGATCCTTGGGAGCCGGGCTGGGCTGGTACCCACCGCATCCCTTCGGCCGAGTTTCTGGTTCTGCCCGCGGTGCTGCAGAGTCCGGCCGTCCGTGTGTTCTTCCTGTTCCCCTCAGGGTCAGCAGGGGCGACCTGTTTGGCTACTGTCACCGGGTACCTGCCATCATGATTCTTCCACCCATATGAGGGGTTGAGTTGGGCTCCGAGCCCCAAGGACACAGGGACCTGGTAGTGACCATGGGAAGGTCACTCACTGGCAATTGGCTCTAACTTGAAAGTTTAGACTGGCAGGACACAAACCCTCCGAGGATCCACGGGAGACGCCCCACCCTGCTGGCACGTCCCCAGGTGGCTCCCTTGTCCTCACCCTGTCCGCCCTGTCCCCATGGTCAGCTACCTGCTGTGGGGTGGGGCTGGGGCATGCTCCCCAAGGCCCCAGGTAGCCCGGACTCAGGGCGCCCATCCAATGCGATAAGCCAGGGACGAGCCAGCCAACGAGTCCCCGTCCCCTCGCTTACAGATCACCGCCAGCGAGAAGCACCTGGAGAGCCTCAGGAACGCCGGGAGCCTCCTGCGGGCTCTGGAGCTGCTGGCCCGGGCGGGCAGGTGAGTAAGGCCAGTGCAGCCTACGGGCCTCAGCCACACTCTCACTCATTCTGTCCTCTCCTCCTGTCCCCCCACCCCCCTTCCATCTACACACCAGGGACCACCCTGCCATCCCTCCCAGCTTGGGGAGCATGCTCTGTGGTTCCACCCCTTGGGGTCTCCAGTGTGCAGATGAGGGGCTTCAAAAGGAGGGAGAACAACAGAATTTCTTAGCCCTGTAGGGGGGGGGCAATATTCCCATCCCTAGGGGCTAGAGAGGAGGAGGGGATGCATTGTGACCAGGTGGGAGGGGATGCAGGCAGGAGACGTGAAGGGCTTCATGAGGAAGGCGGTACCCAGCCTGTGCACAGATGCCCCCTCAGCAGCCGGGGCCAGAGGTGTCATTACCGCCACCTTGCAGAGGGTCAGGACGCTCAGCAAGGGCTGGGGTCACAGCTGGTGGCTCAGCCTGCCCTGCCTCACCGGGCTGCCTTCCTCGGCCAGGTCCTCAGAGGGAAAACTCGGAACCTGCAGAGCAGACTGCATGGCACTCAGCCTCCCAGTCCTCGGCTGTAGAGTGTAGAACACTCCAGAACCAAGGTGCACAGACCAGGGCAGCACTGTCACCCAGGAGTGGTTATCACACTCTGAAGGTGGGCGCTGGCATCCATGCAGAGAGGGCTCGTCCACAGCCACAGGCACCCCTGCGTCCCCAAATTTGAGAGGTGGCAGCTGGTGGGGAGGAGGTAGAGCTCATCGTCTTTAGTCTACTTATTAGTGCCAGGTGACCAGAGGCAAACCGCAGGGGACAGAGAAAGCCGTTCCCAGGTGTCCCCGCTTCCATCAGCTGGTGCAGATGGCTCACTGCATGTGACCACCGCAGCCCGGTGTAGGGGGTGGGGACAGGTTTGACTAGAGACTCAGTGGAGGTGGTAACCCCTCCTCTCTCAGACCACTGTTCCCAGAGCTGGGGGAGGTGGCCAGTTCGTGGTGGCCACAGTCCAGAGCCCCGGCTGCTGTCCTGACCCCACCCTGGGCAGAAGACCCATCCCCCAAGGGGTGCCTAGCCTCCACCGAGCCTGCAACACCTGGAGGGGGCCTGTCGCGTCCTGGGGGTTTTCAGAACCACAGGGTTCTGTGTTGTCGGCCCCCAGGTGTTTGGGGATGGATATTAGTTCATTTGAAGAGAAATCATTGGAGGTGGAGGGAGGCACTGCTGAGCAGCTGAGTCTGTGGTGCAGGGGGAGCCCCCATCCTTTTCCACTTAATGCTGGGTTGGGTGGGGGATGGGGACACCACCTCGGGGCCTGCTCATCCCCTTTCTTCTTCAGGTTAGACCAAAGCAGGTTCTTATCAGGACAGGCTCTGACGGGAAGGGTCCTCCTCACTCCGCTCAGCCCCAAGGTGGAAGGTGGGACAGCGACCCCTGGGCTGCGCCACAGCCCCTCTGCTGGGCTGCTTGTGAGGGGCACAGGAAGGCCGTCCCCAGGGGTCCTGCCTCGGGCAGTCAGCCTGTGCAGCCGGCCTTGTGCCCCCGAGGAGTTAGTGGGTGGTTCCAGCTCTTCCTCTCCAGCTGGCCCTGGGGCCATGAGGCCGTGGGGGCCTCCTCACCTGGCAAGGCCTTCACCTGCCTTTGGCCAAAGCCCGTGCATCCCCATGAGGCACCGGCTTGGGGGAGCTGGGCCCACACCTGGACCGAACATGTTAAACAAGGCGCAGCCGGCGGCCTCCCCCGCACCCCGCACCCAGCACCCTAGCTGCTAGCGTGTCTTGTGTTGGGTGGGAGACTGCCTGCCACCACGAAGCTCGTGAAGGCTCTGTCCGGGTGGTCGAGGACAAGATGGTTTGCCAGTGCTGACCGAGAATGAGCAGTGCCCTTTGCGTCACCGGGCCTTCCAAGGTGGCCGGGGTAGGCCACCCGACTCCCCCAGACCAGCCTGGAGTCAGCGTGCGCCCCCGTTCCTGGGGACCGCTGGTGCGCAGCGCGGGAGTGGGTCTCCATCCCGACAGCAGCCCTGTCCTGCTGCGCCCCCCTTTACACAGCACCTCGCCCCTGGTTAGCAGACAGCAGCTCTATTTCTGTGCAGTCAGGGCTGCACCTCGAGCTAATTTTGTACTCAAGGGCACACTGCTGCGTGTCACTCTTTTCTTTGCTGGCAGAGCCCAGGTTTAAATGGCTCAATTTGCTCTAGTAACAAAGTTTCCATTTTAAGCTCCTAATTGCACATCCACACCTATGAGAACAAGAAACCCAAAGCTCCGGGCTGATTGGCCAAATGGTGACGTGTAACAAGAGTCAGCGCGTGGAGTGGGTCTGGGATCCATGGCACTTGGTCAGTTAGTCAGCTGCAGGCAGGCGCTGGAGGGCCCGGCAGAGCAGGGTCTGGCTGCTGTTTACCTGACTTCCTCACAGCTTAGCGTCACACACCTGGCCAAGGGGGTCCAGCTCTTGAGAGGTGGAGGGCCAGAGCCCGTCCCGCTTGGGGATGCTGGCAGGGCCAGCTCTGGGCCCACTGGGGCTGCGGGCTTCTCCCCCGAAGCCTGGGAAGTTTCTGCTTCTCGCCACGCTGCAGGGGGGCGACCCTGGGAAGCAGGGGGTCTATCAGATGCCAACCCCTCTGACAGAGGCGGCACCTGACCCGGCTTTGCTTTCTCTCGCAGTTCGCCCGCTGACGGTGCCGTAGCCGCCTTGGCCCTGGAGATCCTCCAGGCCGTTGGACACTAGGCAGGAAGGCACGGAACGCAAGCCCACCCTGGGACTCCGGCCCACGGCGACACAGGCCAGGTCAGCGCCCAAACACATTCGCCACCCACAGGTGTATTTGGACCTAATAAAGTCAGCTGGTTCCAGAACCTTCTGGCTGAGGTGCTCTCACTAACTCGGGGCCCTAGAAACCCAACATGGGACAGAGCTCCTCGGTTCTGGGGGACACACTGGGAACCCCAGGTTTGCAAGCTGTTCTCCGGTCCTCTCCCTCTGTGACGGCTGCTGGCCCCCCTTCAGTGGCCACTGCCTGCCCCAGAGAGGGGAGAAGCCGCCTTCCCCAGTCTGCCCTGCTCCCCACCTGTCCTCGCACAACTCCACGGCCAGCCTTTGGGAGGTTCAGCCTCTTGCCTCCCACCACCTTTACCTGAATGGCTTTTCTTCAGATCAGGGATAAACTGGTTCCAAGAACCCACTAACTGGCACAGGTAGCTAAGAGTTTGCCCAAAAAAGCACAAACGCCCCAAGGACACTGGCTTCCTCCAAGGTCTGCCCGTCTCAATGGGTAGATGGAATCAAGGTGGACTCACTCCCCATCACCCCTGTATCCCTGACACCTATTCAGCTTCCTCCGATGTCCCCTCAGTATGTGCCCCTAGAGCCTTCCCGTGAGTGGGACCCATGAGAATATTTGGTAGACAATGCAGAGGTATTGGACGATGTACTGAGGAACCTGGACCGGCCAGTAGTTTGGGTCATGGACAGCTCAGACCAGGCCAGCAAGGTGAGGCTGTCCCTTGTCTCTGGGGCCTTGGTGTCCCCATCTGCAGGGGGAAAGGCCTCGGCCAACTCAGTAGCCATCAGCCCTCTGCCCGCCGTGGGTTGTGCTTCTCAGACTTGCCCCTATTGAACACTGCCCCAACCCTAGACGGGACTGTCCCATGCAGAATGGGTGGGATAGGCGAAAGTGGCGGCCACACGGGCATGCAGGAACCCATCTGTGGCATCACGGGAAGCTGTCTTGCTATCACCAAGAGCCCCACTTGGCCAGTGATCTGGGTTGCTTGCCAAATCCCATTGGACTTTATAGTGAAAACAGCAGCTTGGTGCGCAACTCTATGGAAGGCATGTGTGTCAGTTTCTTTATTTAACCCCCTCCCCTCCCAACCCCCAAAGCAGGCAGATTTCTGGGCTTCATCTCAGGGAAGAGAAAGTTGAGGCTTGGCCAGTCCACTTGCTTGGCCGACCTGAGCACCGACTCCACAGCCCCGTGAGTCCCCCAGTGGGGTATCCAGAGCTGGAGCTGTAAATAGTTGAGGTGTAAGACGGTGACCCACCTGGCCAGCAGGCAGCTTCATTTGATTCTGCACAGCCTACTTACTGCCCACAGCGAGGCCACCGCGTGTCACGTCCTGCGGGGCTGTGCACCCATGTGGCCCCGGCCTGGCCGGATCTGCTTGTGCTCCTCGGGGGTTGGGAGGGTGGTTAGCTGATGAGGCAGCCCGAGGTCTGCTTTCTCCCAGAAAAGGTCCCTGGCGTCCTCGGCGAAGGTATCCCGGAGCATTGGGAGATTTCCCCTTACCACCGAGCAGGGAGCGTCTTTGGTGTTGAAAGTACAACAGGTGGGCCTGAACGTCCCCAAGCCTCTTTGCTGAGCTGTTCCTGGCCTGAAGCCCCACAACCCTGCGTGTTTGAGGAGGCCAGAGTGGGCGAGGGGCAAAGAAATGAAGGCCCCAGGCAGGGCTACTGCCCTGCCAAGGGGGCTCAGCCCAGGGTGCCAGGACACTAAAGCTTGCCCATGCCAGGCCTTGAGCCTTGCCATGGGCCACATCCTCCCAGGACCCCTTCTGTCATTTCCACAAGCACACCACACACAGAGCTCTGTGTGCTGGGAGCGGCAGCTCTGGTGTGCTGGGCTGGAGGTGGGGGCTGAGGGTGGCCCACTCTCTCGCAGTTGGCTTCCCAGGCAGCTCCAGCTCTGAGGAAAGAGCTGGCCCCTAGTGTCCGTCAGAGCTCAGGCTTCTGACAGTGGTAAGGGGTCCAGACTGAGGCCCTTCCCACCTGGCCCCTCTGAGCTTCGGCTGTTTGCTCTCCAATTGGCTGAGCCTCCCAGGGATGTGCATGGTGTCCCTGAAGCTGAAGTTGGAAGGCAGAGGCAGCAGCCAAGAGCACTGGGGGGGCAGGATAGTGGAGGGTCACTTCCTTTCCCTCCACTCACAACAGGCCCAAAGCCTCAGGACCTTGCCATGACTTCCAGCCTGAAAGGTAGGTGCCCAGTGAGCTGTCCCTGTGAAGGACAATTTTGGTGACTGACTGGCTGGCTACAGGTGGTCTGAGGGGAACTGACTTGTCGGGCAAGAAGGAGGTGGGTCTGCTTGATGCAGCAACAGCACATGTTGTCTGGGGGGCCTTTGTCCCTGGCCAGCTCCTGACGTTTCCCTCTTCACCAAGCAGTTCCCAGGCCAACTGTGAACGCACAGCAGACTGCAACCTGTGGTGGCTCAGGCTTTTGCCCCAGGGGAGTCACAGGAGAAGAACCCGGTCTCTTCAGCCTCCACTTGAGGCCAAGCCCCCCCCACCCCCAGCTGCAGCAAAGTAGGATGTAGACATGAATCCCTGGTACATGGATGGACACGCAGGGGTTCAGGTAGGAGGCCCATCAGCCTCAAGCTTCAGTGGGGCGGAGGAGGAGGGAAGTGTGGGAGCAAAGAGCAGGAAGCCACAGTCTGGAACTAGGTCGGGGAGACGGGGGTGTGCTGGTGGGACCTGGAAGGCTGGAGGCTGCTGTGGAGGTGGTCGGGGAGGCCTACTGCCCCCTCAAGCTCCTTGTGGTTGGGGTGGGGGAAAGGGTGGACACTACACAGATCTCCCAGTAGGCGTGGCCAGAGAGAAAGCTCTGCCTTCTCAGCCCCACCCACACCTGTATGCTTTTGGGAGTGATTTACTCAGGCACCTGCAGGAAAGGCAGCTGGCTCCACTCTCACCTGCTAGAACAAAGTGACTGCAGTGCACCGACTCAGCTCTTTGCTTATTAAACCAAACAGCATAACTGAGATCTTGTTTTTACTACGGTAACCAAAACAAGAATTAAAAGCTTATCTATCTCAAGATCTTTCACTGCCAAAGCCTCCTGTCTGAACATCTATTTCACTGTGAAGGAGCTTAGTTCCTCCCCGCCCCCCAGGGAGGGGGTGGAGGGAGTCACTACTGAGGAATCCAATGTCCTTTGCTCCTCCATCCCCAGGTCACCACCTTCCTGATTTTTGTAGTAATCTAGTCACTTCCTTGCTTTTCAGTTTCACCATCCATCATTTCCTTAAAATAGTTTGCCCTTTTCTGGATCAATGAAGCCCTACAGTGTGCATTTATGACTTCCTTCTGTGTACTACTGTGTAAAGCTATCGTTTCTGACCCCTACAGACTGCAAAGGAGAAGTCATTAATACTGACATTGCTTTTATTTAAAATGGTTAGTTTGCTGGTCACAGATTTTTTTGCATTAATTTGAATTTTATCTTGTAAACCAGAAGTAGCCCTCCCTAAGCACAAAACTCTCTAAAGGCTGAAACACAAGCCTCCACCGGTCTGCTGACTCCGCCCTCAGGGAGGAGGCCTGTCCGGCCTCCCACCTGGATGACAGGCTCCCCTGGCTGCCACCGCGGAAGAGGCCCATTCTGGGTCTGGTTCTGTGCAGATAAAGATCTACGGTTAAACCATTTTAATTACCAGTTCAAAGTGGAGCTGAAGGAATCCCCTTTCCAAATGAGTCACACTTGCGTGAAGATGCTTCAGGTCCTAACCCAGGTAGATCATTCTTCATTACTGCCTTAATGTACTAAGTTTGGGGTGGGTTTTCTATTTGGCTTTCAGTTTTGCTATGTAGCCTGAAGACTTAAGATGCCTTTACCTATGGCAGCCTGAGGTCACGTGGGTAAGAGTAAAACCTGAGCACAGCAGGAGGCCAGGCCTAAGGAGTCCTTCAGGTGGAGACAAAAACGTCTCTCCCTCTTGTACAAGCTCAGAATCAGTGTTCGTGGCTGAAACAATTTCTGGTGCCATTTAGTCCAGGGGCAAGAGCCAGAGAAAATCGGCTAACAATCCCATCTGAAGGTAAGGCTCTGTTATTTACAGCTCACCAGGTAGGTGAACATGCTAACTACCTTCCCGCTCCACTTACTAATAAGGAAAATAAGGTGACACAATCCAATGAATTAAAAGTTTAATTCGGAACCATTTTTTCTAACTGCATTTTCTCTTGAAGCATCGTATCACAGCAGGTCACAACAACTTTGGGATAAAAGGCAGCTGGTCAACTGTCCAGAACAAGGCTCCAAGGAACACCTCTTACTGATTCACCCCACCCACATGTCCCAAATAGAGTTTTCAATCAAAACATGAAATAGATCCACCTGCTTATTTTAAGCATATTAAAAAGGAAACTAATCGGACCATTTCTATTTGTCTATTTTATACAAAAGGGCTACACAATGTTACACTTTATTCAGATTACAATTAGAGTGATTATGAATTAGTGTTCTACACCATTACTCAATTCTTAAAAATTAGAAATTGCTGTAGCAGTATTCACTATAACTTAACACTACAAGACTTAAAAAACTAACAGTTACTGCAAAAAAAATTAAAGAGCTACTTCAAAGCAAGCAAAGTCAGTACCATTACAGATATTAAAAAAAATTTTTAACAAGCAAGGCTAGAGTTTGATAAATTCCATCTTGTGATCCATTCTTGTGCATTCTTCACTTCTTGAGTCACTCCCAAAATCCATTTGTATTGTTACTCCTCGACCAAAAAGGACCAGAACAAAAAGTTTACTTCAATTGTTCCCATAGGAAACTCAACTTGGTTAGTGTGTCAGGCACTTTCTGAGATACCAGCCCACCCCTCGAGCCCTCTCAGCAACTCTACAGGCCAATCACAATGCAAGTTCAGACAATACAGCTGTGTAAAGAGAGAAAGGCTGCTATTAATGTTTAAAACAGCAAATGTTATTCGTTTGAGTATTCAGTTGCAAAAGCTGTGGCAAAAAACATTAAAAGTTAATAACTTCCACACATGACAACGTGACAACCAGAAATCTGAGAACATTTAAATGTTCTAAGACATCTCCTTTCAAAGTACAGAT